ATAATGTTGTATGAAGCAAATCCCTCTCTTTTATTTCAAATTATTAATGTTGCTGATTTCAAGGCAGTTAAATTTAGTGCCTACAAAGAAACTTTCAATTGTGAAGAGGACAGAATGTTGACTAGTAAAGTCTGTGTTTTATGGCCCCTGATAAATGTACCTTAACTCAAATCTCCAGTAAGCCTAAAAATTAGGATCCAGATATCTCAGGCTGCTCACAACACTTGTAAGATTCTCATTTATGTCCTTGGGCTCCTGGTGTGGCGCTGTAGGATCAGCATTGGGCTGAGAACCGTAAGGTTGGCAGTTCAAACCCACCAGCTGCTCCTCAGAAACCCCTGTGCAGAGTTGCTATGCACCAGAACTGAATTGACTGCACTTTAACAACAACATGGACATCTTGTTAGGTGCTATCAAGATGATTTTGAATCATAGCAACTGTGTTCACAACAGAAAGAAACAATTCTCACAACTGTTGTTACGTTTGAGTCCATTGTTGCATCTACTGTGTCAGTCTTGCTCATTGAGAGTCTTCTTCATCTTTCTTGTTGACCTCCAATGTACCATGAGTGATATCCTTCTCCAGGAGCCTGTCCTTCCTGGCAACGTGTCCGAAGTGCATGAGATGAAGAAATCTTGTCATTCTTTCTTCTAAGAAGCATTCTGGCCTTACTTCTTCCAAGATAGATTTGTCCATCTATTCTTCCCTTCTTCCTTTGTAATAGGACCTCTTACTTTTAACTAGGGACATGGTTGCTTGAAGTCAAGACATTTCTCAATCTCCTTCCTATTGACATAAGTGGTATTTTGAACTTTATAAAGTATCTCTAAAGGGAGCAGGTATTTGACCTTTGAGTTAGAGCCTGAACTCTAAAGGCATTTGTTCTGTTGAAGGCCTGGTCAGAGCCCAATTCTACTTTGATCCTTGACAAAAGTTCAGAGGCCATCTCCAGTACCTTACACACTGCTGACAGAGTGTGTTTGAAAGTGTGTTCCCCAGCCAGCTCAGGGAGGGGCAGTCCCTCCCTCAGGTATTTGCCTGATGTGCCCTTAATGGAAATCAGGGATACCAGGGTCACATGATTATGAGTCATACTCTGACCAAGGTGATCGGAGAGTCCCAGAATCAATCCTGGAAGCTTTTCTAATCTGCAGCAGTGTATGTAACCCAGTCTTGGCCCCTTTCCTGTTGCCATAGCCTGGTCTGTGAAGAATTGATCTGCTGCCAAACATGATTTTGTGACAAATTTCCTTTGTTTTCGGTGCCTACTAATTTGGTCATGTGGCTGTGAATCCTTGAAGTCGGTACCGACTCATAGTGACCCTATGTACAACAGAACAAAACACTACCTGGTCCTGCACCAACTTCACGACCATTGCTACATTTGAACCCATTGCTGCTGCCACTGTGCCAATCCATCTCCTTGGGGGGCCTTCCTCTGTTTTTCTGACCCTCCACATTACCAAACATGATATCTTTCTCTAGGGATTGGTCCTCCTGATAATATGTCTGAAGTATGGGAGACAAAGTTTGGCCGTCCTGGCTTCCAGGTAGCAATGTGGCTGTACTTCTTCCAACACAGATCTGTTTGTTCTTTTGGTGCCCATGGCACTTTCAATATTCTCCTTCAGCACCATAGCTCAAGTGCATCAATTCTTTTACAGTCTTCTTTATTCACTGTCCAGCTTTCGCATCCATATGAGGTGATTGAAAATACCATGGCTTATGTCAGGTGTACCTTAGTCCTCAAACTGACATCTCTGCTCTTCAACACTTCAAAGAGGTCTTGTGCAGGAGATTTGCATAATGCAATATGTTGTTTGATTTCCTGACAGCTGCTTTTATGTGTGTTGATGATTGAGCCAAGCAAAATGAAGTCTTTGACAATTTCCATCTTTTCTCCATTGATAAGAATGCTGCTTATTTATTGGTCCAGTGGTGAGGATCTGTGTTTTCTTTACATTGAGGTGCAACCTGTACTGAAGGCTGTGGTCTTTGCTCTTCATCAGTAAGTATTTTAAGCTCTCTTCACTTTCAGCAAGCAAGGTTGTATAATGTGTATATTGTAGGTTATTACTGAGTCTTCTTCAATCCTGATGCCACATTTTTCTTCATATAACCCAGCTTCTAGGAGTATGTGCTCAGCATACATTTTGAATAAGCATGGTGAAAGAATACAACCTTGTTGCACACCTTTCTTAATTTTAAACCATTCAGTGTTCCCATGTTCTGTTCGAACAACTGCCTCTTGGTCTCTTGGTCCAGGTACAGATTCCTCGTGAACACAATTAATACTCACACTTTGCAATGTTGACCATAGCTTGTCATAATCGACACAATCGAAAGCCTTTGCATAGTCATTTAAACACAGGTAAACGTCTTTCTTATATTCTCTGCTTTCAGCCAAGATCCATCTGATGTCAGCAATGATATCCCTCATTCCATGTCCTCTTCTAAATCCGGGTTGAACCTCTGGAAGTTTTCTGTCAAGCTATGGTTGCAGCTGTTTTTTTTAACTATCTTTAGCAAAACTTTGCTTGCATAAGATATTAATGATATTGTTCAATGATTTCAGCATTCCATTGTTGTTGTTGTTTTTATGTGCTGTAGAGTCAGTTCCAACTCATAGTAACCCTATACAGGGTTTCCAAGGCTGTAAATCTTTACAGGAGCAGAAAGCCTCATCTTGCTCCCGTGTAACAGCTGGTAGTTTCAAACTGCTGACTGTAAGATTAGCAGCCCGATTCATAACCACTATGCTATCAGAGCTCCTTGGGTCACTTCTATTTGGAATGGGCACAAATATGGATCTTTTCCAGTCAGTTGGCCAGGTAGGTGTCTTTCAAATTTCCTGGCATAGATGAGTGAGTGCCTCCAGTGCTGCATCAGTCTCTTGAAAGATCTCAATTTGTAATCGAGCTATTTCCAGAGCCTTGTTCTTTGCCAATGCCTTCAAAGCACCTTGCACTTTTTCTTTCGGTATCATCAGTTCTTAATCATATGCTGCCTCTTCATATGGTTGAATATCAACCATCTCTTTCTGGTACTGTTTATTCCTTCCCTCTTCTTTTGATGCTTTCTGCATCATTCAATATTTTTTACGTTGAATCCTTCAATATTTCTGGAATGAGAAGATAAGAATATGCTGGATGGAGCTAAGGTAGCTACTTTAGATGTGAATTAGGAGCCATGTTGAGAAGGGTCTATCTCTGGGTCCATAAAGTTCTTGCAGATTCCATATAAGCCCGGACTGACAATGTTTATGAAAGACAGATATAAATAAAGTTTTAAGTTACTTAAATGACATATTTTAGACTTTCTGTTATCCAGTCTTAATTGGTACACTGCCCATAAATGAAATTTAGTTTTCTATTGATAGTGTATCCAACAGGTTTCCACTGCTATTCATGAAGTTTTCAGTGGTTAAACATTCAGGATTAGTCTGTCTCTTCTTCCAATTCTGTCTTAGTCTAGAAGCTCAGCTGAAACCTGTCCACCATGGGTGACTTTGCTGGTATTTAAAATACCAGTGACATAGCTTTCAGAATCACAGCAATACAAAAGTCACCACAGTACAACAGACAGATGATAACATCATGATATATAGAGAAAAGATTGAAATTGTCAAATGATTCAGTTTGCTTGGATCTATCATCAACACTCATGCATACAGCTGTCAGGAAATCAAACAATGTCTTGTATTAGGTAAATCTTCTGCACAAGACCTTTTTAAAGTATTCAAGAGCAAAGATTTCAATTTGAGCACTAAGGTGTGTCTGACCTATGCAATGCATTTCAGTAGCCTCATATGCATGTGAAAGTTGGGCATAGAAGAATTGATGCATTTGAGTTATGGTGTGGGAGAAGAATATTAAAAGTACCAAGGACTGCTAATGAACAAAAAATTCTTGTTGGAATAAGTAGTAAGAATGCTCCTTAGAAGCCAGGATGGCAAGACTTTGTCTCTTGTGCTTCGGACATATCAGGAGGGACCAGTCCCTGGAGAAGGACATCATGTTTGGTAAAGTGGAGGGCCAGTGACAAAGAGGAAGACCCCCATGAGAAGGATTGGCAGAATGGTAGCAACAATGGGCTTATATGTAACAACGATTGTGAGGATGGTGGAGGACTAGGCAATGTTTCATTCTGGGTCGCTGTGAGTCAGAAGTGACTCTATGGGACCTAACAACAACACTCATAGTGTATAAAAAAGTCAGACTTGGTATGAAGAGAAGCTGTCCCAAAGGAACATGACATAGAAGCCTAGGAAAGACATAAAAGACCGGGAGGGGAGGAGGGGAGTGATACCCCACAGTGAGCTGGAGGGTTACAATGGTTGTGTGGATGAGGAGATATAAGGACCTTGGTAACCTTGACCTCAACTTCCAGCCATCTTCATACATCTCTAGTGGATGGTTCTCCATGGTCTCCAACACCATCTGAACTTCCCCATTCCAGGGACTTTGAGTAATTACCAGCAATTGTCTCTGTGGAAGCAGTAGGGATTAAGAGCATATTGATTCTTTACATAGAGCTGCTACTTTCTGAAACCACGTTTAAATATAATAACTTGAGAAGTGTGAATTTTCCCTACGTGAAAAAAAAATCATATGGGCTATTCTGGGGAGACTGGCTGGATATTTGTATGTGCCACACTGAATATTTTGGCATGAGAAATTGAAATAGCATTTTAATAATGGGAAAATATTTACTCAGGATAATCACAGATACATAATGGTGCTGATCTATATCTGTGTATTTTTGCTTTTCTAGCTCCAATGAACCATTTACCATTTACTCTAATATCAGACTCCTCCTTTTGGAATGTAGATGGTAATAAATAAAATTCATCACTAATTAGTCTGAACGCAAAGTGATTGAGATAGAAAACAAAAAAAATCACCAACAAGTAATAGCAAGTTTCAAATGATCTAAAATAAGCATAATGACCCATTGGAAACACAAAGTCATCCTAGTGAGGAGTTGCAATTTTACTTACTGAACTTGGGCCTCTTAATCTTCTTTGTCATTTCTTTATTTGAATGTATTCCAGCCACCAGAAAAACTGCATGAAGAAAATATAAAAATATATATGTATATATAATTTTCCCTGATCATTTTTATTTTCTCTCTTTTGACCATTGAATTTGCTTCAATCATACTTAAAGCACTCACATTGAAATAATTTTCTCTTATATTAAGAGTGGGGAAATAAGATAGATAGTTTGTATACATTTGTTAATGTCTGCTGAAAGTTTCTCCCATCTTTTGATCTGCTGTTTTTAAATTTCACCGTACCAATCTTACAACCTTTTTTTCAAAAAAAAAAAACGCAAACATTTTATTGTGAATGGAATGAAGGTTTATAGAACAGATCATCCATCAGTCCCACATTCAACAAATTATCCACTTCATGTCATTACAATGATTGCTGTGAACTATCTTCACTCTGGTAGCGTAGTGGTTACGAATCGGGCTGCGAACCGCAAGGTCAGCAGTTCGAAACTACCAGCTGCTCCGCTGGAGAAACAGGAGGCTTTCTGCTCCCGTAAAGATTTACAGCCTCAGAAACCCTGTGTAGGGTCGCTATGGGTCGGAACCAACTCGATGGCACATAACAACTACATCTTCACTGTAACTGTTGTACTCTTCTTGGGGTCTTCCACTACCTTCATCTTTCTAACCCTACACTCTTTATTTTTCAAAAGACGAAACATAGGCCTAGAGAAGGCTACTAATTTACCTGGTCCCAGGAATAAATGACAGAGGTAGGTGAACACTCAGGTCCTTCTTGTGAGGTTCCAAATGGTCAGTGTGTGTGCGTGTGTATGTGTGTGCAGTGTGTGTGTGTGCAAGGGGGTCTGAGGGTAAGTTGAATAAAGGGAAATATAGAAGCTTAGAATTGAGGTTGCCTGAGAAGAAAAGAGAAGGAGAATGGGGTAGGGGAAACGAGGAAGAAGAGGTCTGAGGTGAGTGTGAGGGCCCTGGTATCCACCGTACAGCCCTTGGTTGTGTGCCCCCTGGAGGCCAACTGCAGGTAGCTGAGCTTCCTATTCAGTGTGATGCTGCAGAGTAAAGCGCTGGATTGCAAGGTCAATTTGAACCACAAGGTGGTAGACGGTTCAAACCCACCAGCCTCTCTGTGGAAACCCTAGACAGGGTCTCTAGGAGTTGGAACCAACTCAGTGGCACTTAACAACAACAACTCCTGCAGGAAGAAGCTCTGGTAGTGCCATGGGTTAAGCATTGGGCTGCTAATCTCAAGGTTGTTGGTTCAAACCCACCAGCTGCTCCATGAGAGAAATATAAAGCTGTCTGCTCTCGTAAAAATTTATAAATTTAGAACAGTTCTACTCTGTGCTGTAGGGTTGCTACAAGTCAGACTCTGCCTGGTAGCAGTGAGTTCGGGGATCTTTATTGTTTTTGTTGTTGTTAACTGCCTTCGAGTCAGTTCTGACTCATAGCAACCCTGTCTAAGGGTTTTTGAGGAGCACCTGGTGAGTTTGAATAGCTTTCCTTGCAGTTTAAACTGACCTTGTGGTCCAGTGCAGTACAGGGAAGAAGGGGAAACACTTTATCTTTTTCAATTTAAAGTCATGACCCATTTACTTTCAAGCAGATGAGATAAAATTGAGCCCTGTGTTTTTAAAAAATAAAGACTGACTTTTCATTTATTACTGAAATAATGTATTTTTCTGTTAAGCCTTGTGCTTAAAAAAAAAAAAATCTGACTTTTTTCTTATTACCAAAGTAATACATGTTCCTTTTAGGAAGTGAAACAAACAAACAAAAACAATGCATAAAAATATGATACATGCAAAAGTATAATATTTGCAAAAGTATAATATTCTCCAGTCTTTTTGTATATGCATATGAACTCGCATTGGTAGCTATAAACAAATGTTTGGTCATACGCATACTGTTCATGATGTTTTATAACTCATTCCTACTTAAGGATATATGCCAAAATTTTTTCTTGCTATGAAATGCCCTTTCCGCAACATTTTAACTACCTACAGAGTTTTGCATAGTTTAGCCAATCCTCCATGGAGGGCCTTCTTATTATAAATAGCTTCATCTCTGCACAGATCCATTATTATTTTCGTAAAGTAAATGTGCAAATAAAATGTCTTGTCTGAAAAATATGGCCACTTAGAATTTTGGTACCTACTGTGAAACTTACTATAGTAAAAAATTTAAAAAATTTATACTGTCAGTATTACTGTAAGGAGCTCTGGTAGCTTAGTGGTTATGAGTCAGGCTGCTAACCTCAAGGTCAGCAGTTTGAAATTACCAGCTGTTCTGTGGGAGAAAGATGAGGCTTTCTGCTCCTGTAATGATTTACAGCCTCAGAAACCCTATGCAGGGGCACTATGAGTCGGAACCAACTCCCCGCAACACACCACCACCAATATTACTGTATGTAGGAGTGCCTGATTGGTACAAAGTATTTGCACTGGGAGTCCTGCTGTAGTGCTGAAGGATAAGCAGTGGACTGCTAACCACAAGGTCAGCAGTTCAAACCCACCGGCCGCACCTTGGAAAACCTATACAGGGTTGCTATGAGTTGGAATCGACTCAATGGCAGTTAAGAATAACAACCAATCTAAAAGTTGGTGCTTAAAAGTACATCAATGGAAGAAAGAAAATCCTGTGGATCTGCTTCTATAAAGATTACAGCCAAGAAAACTCTACAGAGTTCAGTTAGACTCTGTGACACACGGGGTCCCCATGAGTCAGAATCTGCATCCTGACAATGGCTTTGGCTTTGTTTATCTTGCAGTACTAATGTCATGGGTCCTGGTATGGCACTTAGAATAAGCACTTATTCACAAAGTCAGTTTGAACCTCAAGATTGGTGGTTCAAATCCACCAGCCGCTCCTCAGAAATCTTATATAGGGTCACTATGGGTGTAGACTGACTTGTAGGCACTTAACCATGTAATGAAGACATCCTGATGTGGTGCCGTGGGTTAATTCACTGGATTGCCAAGTCACTTTAAACCACAAGGTCAGAGGTTCAAGTTTACCAGCTGTTCCTCAGAAACCCTATACAGGGTCAATATAGGTCGAACCTACTCAATGGTACTTAACAAAACAATGTAATGGAAATGCTCACTTGTCTGGATTTACACTGAGCCCTGTTGTGAAGCTGTAGGATGAGCACTGGGTGGCTAACCGCAAGGTCAGAAGTTCAAACCCATCAGCCACTCTTGAAAACCCTGTAGCAGGTGGCTGTGAGTTGGCGCCAACTCACAGCAAACAATAACAGCTGTATGTATGCTAATTACACTTGTGGACAGAAAAGCACTGTGTGTCCTTTCAAATGCGAAGTCAATTCTCTGTTCTTCTTCCTTCCTCTCTTAGCCTTCTGTCACCTCACCCACCCAAAGGTGTTACCATTCATTTCCATTTTAGCCACTTTTCTGAGAAACTCACTTTGTGGTTGGGGTTGGTACTCTGGGGATGCACATGGGGGAAACAGAGCAATCAAAATAGACATTGTACCCCTCAGGTTATATGTTTAAAAGAAAATAGATGCTCAATTTAGTTATAAATGGACAAAGAAGTCCGGAATTAGCAATTAGTTTTTTTTTTTTTCTTTTTTTATGTTTTATTGTGAATTATATGATAGTTTACTTGAGAGAACTTTAGTTTTACATTCATTCCACCAGATATTGTTTCATTGCCATGGTTCCAATCCCCTCCATGCATCATCAACTGACCAAAGGGTATACCCTATAAACTTGCCCCCTACACTCCACCCCCCACTCCCCCACCCCCCATTCTTCAGCACACAGTCCCTCTCCCTCTCTGGATCCAAAGTCCCCAGCTGCTTCATCACTCCATGTCATCATCTCTGCCTCTATCTCTGGCCTCGCTGCTTCTCTGGGTAGGGTCCCGCTCTCGGCTCTTCTCCGTTGATGGTCCCAGGGACCTCCGCTCCTAGACTTGAGAGTTAATCACTCCCCTTCCTTGCTACAAAACGTCTATCTTTATGTTTCCAACCCTCACAATCAGTCCTGATAACAGTCATTCACTATTGTATCACAAGTGACCCTTCTGCATTTCATTTCATCAGCTCCGCCTAGACAGATAGGATAGTACTTACTGGAGATTCTGCCTTCCTCCATGCCCCCTAGCTCTAGGTTCCCTCTTGAAAGCTTGTAAGCCAGTCACTTCTTGCCTTTGTAGTCCCCCCCTCCCCCCATTTGGGTATCCAATGTCCAAGTTGCCCATCTCTGTCTACTCTGTGTGTGGAGGGGGTGGGAATGTTTCTTGCTATAAGGATTTGTTACCTTTTTTGGGTTATTGCATCCATAGGTGTAGGTCAAGTTCATCAAATTGTATCAGATCACTCTTTTTTTTTTCCCTCTTCTTTCTTCTCCTGGTTGAGTTTTGATCATCCATTCATCGGGGCCAGGTCACGTGGGTACCATCTGCAAGTGTGGGTGTTCTTGTGCATATGCCCTCTCTTCCTATCAGCTGGTAGTTTCACTCTCCACTCTAGTCCTCTGTGGCCACACCGCTGACTCTGGGCCCAGGAGTCCCCAGGTCTCCCCTCACTGCTGGCCAACCAGGTCCCCATCTGGGTCCACAGAAGCCCACCGAACATTGTAGGGCTTAGCTTGCCTCTTCATTGCTGCTTTTACCCCACTTGCCCCTATCTGCGATGTGTGTGGTCACCAATCAGAGCGCGTATTTCCGTTGAGTCTTAGTCTTGGAAGGGGGTTAGCAATTAGTTTTGAAGGAAAAAGTGGCAAAGTTACAAAGTGTTAAAACAACTTATTATTTATTTTATGATTATTGCGCTAATCTGGGGCAATGATACAGCCCCTGGATTAGCCTCAATTTGGACTCCTGGCATTCGCGGAGGTCTGGCCCATTAACATATCATGTCCTGCAAGACCAGAAACCTGAAAGAGAACTGAGTGAGACCGAAAAGCTCAGCCAAGTCGAATGAAGGCAGATATTTATTAGGTTTTATTTACTTCTGGGGTGTGAGTGACCTGAAGGCCTAATATTTATAGTAGTCTCTGTGTCATCAAACTGTGTGCAGAGACC